AAAAAAAAAAAAAAAAAAAACAAGAAGAAAACCGAGCAAAGTCAGAAGCGAAGAATGTCGGAAATTGTACGTGTTAATCATCGATACGATAGCTTGATTAAAATTCTAAAATTCCTCGTCGAACCGTGAAAAAAAAAAAACAGGCTCGCCTCGATGTCGATTTCTTTGGAAGAAAGATGAAGAAAAAAAAAGAGAGAGAGACGCGAAGGGTCGTGCGAAGATCGTGAACGACGAATCGTGGTCGTGTAATAATCGCCGGTATATATCTCACCGTGGATCGTGTATTCGTGCAGCGATCATGGCGGAGAACAGGTGAGGAGACGGACAGATCTGGTGGGATAAGGTTTGAGGGTCACGCTCGCGCCGCCTCGGAAGGTCCGTGACTGAAAAGCTAACCGGTCCTGATACTCGTGTGTTCGCCGCTGGTGCGGTAACTCGTAGAAACCGTGTGCATACCCAGACCAGTGTCCCTGGCCGCTCGGAAGTTTCTCCGAAAATTCTTCCGCATTGCTAGCGATCGCCTTCCGATCGATCGATCGATCGATCGATCCTCGACACCGATCGAATGACAGGCGTCATTGAGACAGATAATCTGTACACACGGTCTCGGTGTCCGGGAGCCTTCGACTCGAAAGGAGAACACTGGTCCTTGAGATGTACCATTCGCGTCGAACGCCTCGGATTTGTTCCTCCAGTCGTTTCCTTTCAACGGCGATATTTGTTTCCCCTCTCTTTGCAAAAGCTCGTCTGCTTTTACTCAGACAGGGTTCAACGTTTAATTCGAGTTCGACGGTGTATTTTCCACGTTTTTCTTTCTTTTCTCTCTCTCTCTCTCTCTCTGAATAGAGAGGAACGCCTCGCATGCAGAGTGTCTGATTGTTTAACGATCTTGTTTCCTCTTCTGCGTTCGTGATGCGAAGGCAGAGCCGCGATTATGTCGCGATGAAACGCAGAGGCCGAGCGTCGATAAGTGAAAAGTCAATGAGCCCAGGCTGGCGTGATCATGGTCACGTACACTATAGGGAAGTTACTGCGCGTCGAACCCCCTCCTACGTAACTTCTGTTTATCATATCATAATGAATAAAATTCATCATTGTTTTATCTTCTTATCTCCTACTTTACACTTATCTCCGATATACATCCAAATTTGGAGTAATTGTCTGTAGTATTACCGTGTCCTGGCCGAGTTACGAACGTTTGAAGACCTAAATGCACACACATACACACACACACACACGAGTCTCGTGAGAATTTATGCAAATGCATATTCGATTGCTTTGACGTATCAAGTTCGACAAAGCTGATCGAAACAAGTCTTTACATTACTTTGCACAAGTGACACGTCAGAGGGCTCTGGCTATTTCTTATTCCGGTGACGATCGACGACGAAAGGTCGAGGGACGCGTTGCAGATTTCATGGAAGCGACGATTGCGTCAAACTTTATTAGAACCTGGTCTCCTCGCGGTCAAGCGAGCAGGCTCGAAGAGGATGGTATCGAATTACGATGAGGTCGATGTTCATTAGAGTCAATTGATATGATCTACATTCGCTACGATCGCTAGATCACGTGCTGGCGATCGTCGGTGCTCCTTTATATCGAGCTTAGGTCATCATACGCAAATATGCGTGGCGCCACGATGCTGCACCCCTGGACCGTGCGAATTATCGGCCGGAAATTTTCTTACCGTGTAAAATCGATGAAAACACACGCCCTGCACGCGTGTGAACACCCCCGTGAACTTTTACAAGAATGTCCCATCTCATTAACCCATGCCAGTGTTCAATCTTTAATACCAGCAACCATATACTAAAAATCTAAATTTTAATCCAATATCTCTATAATA